ATTTGCAGATAATGTTGCATTGTTGGTATTCATTTATGAAGTGAGACACAAATTACTGTCGAAAATCCAAAGTCATTACATTCTGCTGGGGTTTCTCGATTTATCGAATCCACCCAATGAAATGACACTTTATCCTGTAGCCATTTACGCTGTGTCAATATTCGTTTTGGAAATAGTCTTTTATTATTGTCACTAAGGAGAGAACAAATAGAAACTCGAAAAGAAGAGATCTACAGAAACCTAACAGCGTCTACTTTAGGAGAACTTTCTAACAAAGAACCCTTCAACAATACAGCTGTATTTCAGACAACTGGTGAACAAATAATAAAGACATTTTTAGCGTATTTTGCTTCAAATTATTTGCTCTCCGTAGAGGGCTCATATGTTCACTAATAAATAACCTGAAGAATATCATACAACTCAGCGTTCTTACATATGAAGACAGGACCAGTTTCGTAATTTTTTCTCTAATTCGTTGAAGAACTGTACAGCATTTAGTTGGAAGCTAATTATTTTCATATAGTGATCATGTGATAAAACTGCATGTTTAAAACAATGAGACAACAAGCAGAAACGTTCAAGCATATTGGTGGATGGAAATTCTGCCAGGCCAGTGATTCAAAGAGGCCAATTCGCAAAACCTTGTGTATTTGATTGCAACAGTAGACTAATGATCAAGACATTTATTATGGCATTGTGTGATGACATTCACGCCAGAAAAAATTTTTTTAACTCTATTGAGTACCTGAAGAGTTTAACTATCAATGCAATTTTTGAAAGATGTGAATTATAAATTGAAGAAAACTGATTCACCAAAAGTCTCTCCCAAACGATGAGTATTCCTGAAACATCTAGTTAGATTTGCAGCTCAGTTGGATAGTTTTAATGTGGTTTCATTTCTCTGAGATAAATGGCTCAATTTTAAAGCCTTTAACTCTTTTTGCAGATAGCCATCTTCTTGACTGACATATGTTATGAATTATGGCCATAAAAAGTATGCTTGAATGTGTAATATACATAGCTCATCATTCCGATATACTTTGCGCAGAGAATTCAATGGTAGGATGTTGGCCGATCACGCACACTTTCAGACAGATGGCAAGCCCAGAAAAGGGGCCTGGTGACTTCACTCAGTATAAACAAAACTGCTACTGACATTTCAAAGCTCAGTGTTGAGATTCCAGTATTCTATTAGGAATCCGAAGGAATGAAGAAAGATCAGTGAATTCATTATAATAAAAGCTTTTGTATTTCCCAATGAATGAAAAACAAAACGATATTGTTTCTACTGACGCTTCGCTATTTACTGCTAATAGCTTTATCAAAGATGTGTGAATTACTACACCGCTAGTTTTAGACTCACCTCTGGTTTCTCACATTTGTATTTCAGAGGATTCATCATCATACTCAGCACGTCGTTCTTCCTATGCAGGAATAAATATCTAGTTACATTAATCCTGATACCATGCCCTGTAGGCCTTTAAGGAATATGAGAATTATATGTTAAATTTATTTATTCATAGTCATTGATTGTGCATAATTCACCCAACAGTCAAAGGTTTTCCTGTCATAAGTTTAGAGGGCGAATACAGACTAGGAAAAGTGATTAACCGATCGAATTTAGAGGAGATACTTCATGTCATCCTAAAAATAATTAGTAGCACGAATGACTTGTTGCATAATGGTGAAATTGTTTCTGACCATTTAATGTAAATGTAGTAAGAATGCAAGGCAGGTAAATTGACTCGAAAGTGTTTTTACTGAAATCATCTATGAAAATGTCACTTTGTATCACAATAAGAATAAATCAGACGGCAAATTCATCAGAACCTTTATACCTGAAAGCGTCTGTCACTTTCCTCTAATCATTACTGAAATCGAACAACATATTTTGAAATCCACACGAGGATAAAATGCATGATGTTACTGAACAATCTTTTCAGTGTATGTCTATATATCTCGATTATCTTCTGCTAATTTGTTGGAATAAAGGTTTAAAGATGTTTCGTCACCAGTGTTCGTTGAATCTGATCATTTCTGGTGAGATATCTGATCTTCACTATCGAATTGAGATAATAGTTGTTGATGACATACTGCACCAGACTTTTGCATGTGACACGCTCTGAAGTCTGAAGTAGCAATTAGTTGACTGAAGTATCGAGGACTTAGCTGGTTTCTTCGATGATTAGTTTACAAACCTGTCCTATATCCAGAAAAAAAGTAGAGGAATATAGTGTTGTGGCTAACGTACATAGCACAGAAAATCGACTAGATAGCTAGAGAGAACTGAAAACATTCCTACGTGTATATCAATATCATCAAAACAACTTTGCTCAGAGACAAAATTCGATTGCTACATTCATTTAATCGATTCAAACTCTAAACAGCTTCACAATACGTTCGATTATACAAAGTTAACAAACATTCATGCCTTTCTACTTCTATCTCTCACTTCGCCCACATCCTTCATACATCACCATCATCATCATCATGTGCCATGTGTGAGTCAGCATCATTTGGAGGTTGATTAAGTCATCAGAGTAGAAACGTACGAGGCACATGTAGGAGTGATAGTGCTATGCAACGTGCTAACAAAACATAAGCCAGTTGTTAACAGGAAAATGAGCGTAGTAAAATGTGGTTGTGTGATGGTGGTGACGGGATAGCGTATCAGGCTGGGCTGCTTTCCGTTAGAGGCTTAGCATACCTTTTACCAGCGAGAGAAACTTTCATAATTCTCTCTCTCTGTCACTCGCAAACGCACACACACTATATCTGTTTGACTGTGTGTATGTCTATCCATCTCCATCTCAATTTATCTCTCTCCTTAAAAAAAAACATGACACTCACACACGTGAATTACACAAACAATCATGAACATATACAATTGGTGGATGGTGGCTAGCAGTGGAATCCAGGATGCGCATTTCGTCTTAATTGGGGCTCGTCATGAACATACACTATTCCTAATAATAAAGCTTTTTGTATTTCCCAATGAATAAAAAACAAAACGATGTTGTTTTTAATGACGTTTCGCTATTTAATGCTAATAGCATTCTCAAAGTATTATTAAACCGGAATTTACAAAATCTCAGCATATATATAACAAAAAGTTAGGATCAGATTGACGAACGAAACGTTGGAATTACTCATTCCAATATCGCTGAGATATTACAAATATAATTTTTTACAAATGTCTACTTCTCACTCGGCGCCCAAATATTTTAGAACTATTCTGTCAAATCTTGACTACAGTTCATTTGATTTATTTTGCAATCGAATTGGCACAATCATCGTGTTTCCACTCTCCTCTGTCTGCAACAGAATGCGTATCCTGAATCCGGATCTGTCGAGTCACCTGACAACTCCAGTAGGTCGAAGAAAGCAGCTCAATCTTCAGAAAGAAGACAAAGCAATAAGTCCGATAGGGTGCTTCAACTAAACTCTAATCCTAAACACCATAATTTTCAAAATACGTCTAATCGTAAAATTCTAGATACTAACAATTTGAACAGACATGAAGGTATGATGTTAGCTGACACATATGAAATCCTGATTAAATAAGAATGGATATGTATCACTAACTAATAATACTTGATCAAAGTTCCTGACTGTCTATATCTACTTATGGAGATGTTATGACATTGTTTTACAACTGTTTATCCGCACGCACACATACACACTGTGTTTAAAGTGTTTAACAAAGGTAGATCAATATTTGTAAGTCTGAGGTCAAATTTTGATCACAACTCGTACAATTTTGTTTATTATACTTGTTAATACTTGTTTTATGACTGATGATTGGACAAAGTTTTTTAAAAACAAGAGATGTTCCTTTTATGTAGAAACCTCTGTTATGTTAATTTCGATTAATTTCCCCGAAGAAGTTCGGACCAGATTTCCGAACGAAAAGTTGGAATTACTCATTTCAATATCGCTGAGATATTACAAATATAATTTTTTACAAAGAGTTAGGGGGTGAGAAAAAATAGACTAAGTTCAACTTAAAAGGATATATTGAAAGTCAGAATAACAATGAAGATCGCTCAAACCAAATATCAAAGGTAATAGTATATCTGTTATTATATCAAAATAGAGTTTACTAAATTGATCATCGTTCGTTAGCCTGGGGTCATTTTCGGTTGTCAAGTTGGTGAATTGGTAAAGATAACAAAATCAAGTGCAGATTGTTGGATTTTATCAGTGTGTAGAATTATGAAAGTAGTGTGTGTTTACATAGTGAACTTGCTTATCACATTTTTGTTGATTTTGCTACTTCATGGGGGAGGGGGGTGTTGTAGCCAGGTCAGATTCTGTTTTAGTCCATCATTCCTATTCAAGCAATTTGGATTCCACTTGACGTGAGGTGCTTCTGATATTAGACGTTCTTTGTGGTTTCTGAAGTTTTTCTGGATTATTTCAATATTGTCAAAATCAATTTTCTGACCTGATTCTATAGCATGTGGCTGTTGATTTTTGAGTTTTTTCTAGTTCAGTTGGATTTCTTGGTGGTCGAAGAGATGCTCTACGGTGTTCATTTCTTGTGATTTTGATTTCTCGAGATGTTTGTCCTATGTAGATCACATCACATTCCAAGCATACTTTCAACACCCCAAGCACACGCACGCAACCGCACAAACACAAGCAAGCACAGATTAAATCACACATTCACGCTTACCATATTTATACATTTCAATTCTATACTCTCTAACTCCCACAAACTCTCTCTATCGTTTCTCCCTCTTTCTCACACTTTCGTTTCCTCTGCCTATTCTCCACGTCCTATTATGATGCTTATACGTGCTTTATAGTCTTTGCCGAATAATTACACCTCTCCTCATCGGCATTTTCTCTCGGCTAAAGAATACACTTCTTTAGTCAAAACAATAATACCAAAGTTGTGCGCAATCGGTTGGACTATTTGTTGTAATTAGGTAACTCATTCCCAAGGAACTACCTCTACTACAAAGAAAGAAAATGCCATGTGAAACTAAATCTTACTAAGGAAAATGTTATATTTAATTAAAAGAAAAGAATTATTAGAAAGACGGTTGCAGAGAAGAAAATTTTCTTTTCGACGAGGCCATTAAATAAACAAGAAAAATGAGATGAGCAAACATTGTATTCCCTTCACCAGTATTGCTTGAATTCCCCTGGAATCAAATTCCCTTTCCTGCAGCTGAAACAAAATGAAACCAGAGACATAGTGCAACGGAGTTGACAAAAGACACGTATCTTGTATAGTAGAAAATATTTTCCCTACTTTTCATCTAACTAACAATGGCACTCGTGTTAAGGCAATACTTTCAGTGAATATTGAAACACAGATTAAGTGTGTACATTATCTGGTTGATTCCAAGTACCAATGCCCTACATAGGCAATCGGATATGCAAAGCCCCACTCAAATTAAAGATGTTCTCAAAAGTTGCAACAACCGTGATAGTGCGTACAGCGGTCGACTGTTATTAGTAATTTAAAATACCCTCAGGATCTAAGTAGGAACTCACTTCAGTAATACTGCTCGGCATCTTCTTTCATTTCAGCCAGGATCCAGTATGTTCTAAATTCTGGAGTTTGAACTAGGCACCTCCAAATCATTTCAGTATTTCAACTTACACTTTAAAAATTCAATCCTCTTCATTTCCAATAGTTTTATCATGTCCCGTAGTTCCTCTAAAACAGTGAATAGATTGTCGGTGATGCATTAGTACCATGTATCATAACTTTTTTTGGCTTTATTGCATAGTGCATGGATGAAGTCCCTGAAGCTTTATCGGTGTAGTTTTGCGTTTCTCGACAATATGAAATTAACTCTATATGAGCAGTAAATTTGATGCTGTCGTGCATAGATATTTTAGATTGAGTTCTTACTGACTCTTCAACAAATTGCAGATTCTGATACTAGTGTGACGAGTAATACTGTCATCTATACCAATGATTTTTTAAAAATTTTTGTAGAAATGAATACGACGACTTAATAATATACACGTCATTAGCCATACAGGCTACTTTTGTTACTTTTACGAAAATGAAATCCACGAAGAAGTGCATTCGCAACTAGAACTATCAAATATCACATTTGATCAAATTAACAACTATTTAAAGTTACCTTTGCCATCAGCAAAATCAGAACGAGCCGTCTCATAGGCTGTCGGAGTTTCAGCATTATTCAGTGCGTCTGAAAGGAATAATGACTTGTTGTCAAACTCACAGTCGCGTACGTACTTCACGAAATTGAAGGGAAATACCTAATACAAATACATTCAGTGTGGAATGAGATATGTGTATGCAATGTGTGCGCATTGTTTTTTCAATTAAGGAGTAAATTCCTACTTCTACATATCTTCTGATTTGTCTGTTGTCTTCGACTTCACATGGTCTTCAAACTAGAGATCTTGAAGAACGAGTCACTGTCAGTTCAAAATGTCGTGTAATATTCTGTTGATATTTGTTCATCCTTTATTCAATGATGGCTTATTGACGATCATTTTTTTCATTATGGGGAAAATAATGAAATAATAAAACTATTCACTGTCATTCGATTATGATTGTCTAATTCTCTGGTGAACGTGAAGTTCTGAAGTTTCTTGTTGTAGAAATGTCATTTTTTCAATCAAAGATGATACGCATAGAGATTAGTGATGAACGTATTTCCAACCTCCAAATATTTTAAGCATGACAAAACTCTTCCCTCCCCATTTAATGGTATTCCCTTCATGAATTGCCGCAAATAATCTAAGTAATAATAATAATACAATCATATGATATGATTATGAGAAATAAATTGTCCTAGAAACGTAATCCAGTTACGAATACTATGACAATGTGCATTATATTCACTGGACAAATCTATTATCGAATTATATTCTACCACATTGTAATTCATTCCACTTCTACAGTCACTGTCATCTTTTTCAATTATTACACCAATATTTTGAGAAGATAGACTCCTGATCTACTCTTCTGTCTAATTTCCAATGTAAAGCATGGTCTTAGTCGATCTTGGCTTCACATCATTTGTATAGTTGATTCGAAATTTTTAGACAGTTGTGGAAAATTATGTTCGTCAGGTGTCTGTTTTTTGACGATTGATTAAACGCGTCTACTTTTTATATATAATCATCACTCTGTTCATCCAATGGTGAATCGTATTAGGGATGTCCACAGCTTCATTGTGCTTTAAAGTACACTAAACAAATTGATGAATATATTCACTCACTTAAAGTATTTCTGTATTCGTTGGATGCGATGACCGCTGCCGTTCTCAGCCCTTGAAGGTCAGCTAAGAAAACAAAAGAAAAAAACGACCATGACGCGCTTTTCGATTAGTACACTACATTTGGTCAGTTACATAAAACTCTTATTTTTCTGGCAATTTTAGCTAAGAAGTTGTGGAATTTATTTCATTATTTGACTTTGGAACATTGAATCTGTGAATATAAACTTGTTGAATGATAAAAACTATGACCAGCTGTTTAGCATATTGTGACTCATAAACACCATCTCATATCTATAATTGTATACATTGTTGTATTTACATACTCAATTTCACCCAAGTCAGTGAGTCTATGGTTTTGATATCAATGTTGTTAACCACTGCTTGCAAGTGATACTACTGCTACGCTTTTTTGTATTGTTGTTACCACTGCAATTTTTTCCTTTTGCTGGTGTTGTCCTGATTGCTTTATTTTTTGATTTCCTGATTCTAAGGGGAGCGACCCAAGATGTCGCCCCTCTATAAGGTATACATTTACGTAACAACCACCTTCTGAAGCATGAGGCTAAAATCCCCACCCTGTAAACGAAGCTGCTACAGAAACTTCAGCACGATGAGTCCCCTTGTGACAAAAGAAAATGTCTGTGTGGGACATGTACTGTCCACACCGTTTTCGAGACTGGTAAAGCTTTCCAGATTGCGAACGAGATGATAAGACAAGGAATTCAAGTACTGGGAATATGCGAAAACAGATGGAATGGGAGTGGACTCACCAAATTGTCAACGGGTGAGTCAGTGATCTACTCTGGTCACCGAGAAGACAACCACATGCACACCGAGGGTGTGGATATCATGATGTCTCCAACGGCAAATAAGGCCCTGAGGCAATGGGAGGAGATCTCGCCAAGGATGATAACTGCCAGATTTAACTCCAAAGGAAGGAGAGTGTCAGTTAAACAATATTATGCAAACAAACAACCTAGACCTCGAAAAAACGTAGAAGAGTCAAACAGATAACTGCAGGCAACAATGGACAATACTCCAGTCGTTGACATTGAAACACTAATTGAAATCATGGACGCCAAACTGGGACTGCATAACACAGGAAGAGATCTGATCATGGGTAGAGAAGCTCTCGGAGAACTAAATGAAAGTGGAGAACTCTTCGCCGAATTCTGCGCCTTCAACGAACTAGTGATTGGTGGAGGCGTATACAAACACAAAGATATTCACAAGGCTACATGGGTGTCACCAGATGGGCAAACCGAAAACCAAATTGACTTCATCTCAATCTCAAGGAAGTGAAGGCGCAGCCTACTGGACATAAAAGTAAGAAGAGGAGCAGACGTTGGCTCAGACCACTATCTCATACAAGGGACAATCCAAATCAAATTAAAAGCTTCCAGGGAAACAGGAGCTGCAGATAGACCATAAGCCGAGTTCAACACTCAAAAACTGAAGGACCAGGATGCAAAGGACATCTTCACTGCAAACTTAAGGGAAAAGGTGGAGATACAAATGAACACTAGCGAAAGGATCAGCGTTGAAGATTAGTGGAACAACCTGAAAGCCTTATTGAGTCAAACTTGCATAGAAGTTCTAGGCAGGAAGAGGAGAAAGGGTGAACACTGGCTCACTACGGACACTTGGAAACTAACAGAAGAGAGAAGGATGGTGAAACAAAAAATTATCCAGTGCATCGACGAGCAACAAAAACAGGATTTGAATGCAAGCTACAGTACACTGAACAAAAGAGTAAAGCGAAGCTTCAGAAAGGACATAAGAAAATTTTGTGAAGTTATGGCAAGTGAAGCAGAACAAGCAGCAGGCAAAGGAGACCTCGTAACACTCTACCAAACAACTAAATGCCTAGCAGGGAAAAGGTCAATACAAATTAGGCCAGTGAAGAAGGACGATAGAAAGTCAATCACCAAAGAGACGGAGCAAAAGGAACACTGGGATGAACACTTTAAAAGACTACAAAAACGACGGCCACCTACAACGCGCCCAATAATACCAACAACGGAAGCAGAACTACCAGTGAACATCGACCCCTCGGCGAAATCAGAAGTCCTGAATGCAATCAAGATGCTAAAAGCTGGAAAAGCAGCAGGACCAGATGGAATCCCAGTAGAAGCATTGAAAATGGGCCCAGAGACAACAGCGGACATTATGACACCACTACTGGGAAAGGTGTGAAAAGAGCTCAAGGGACCCGAGGATTGGAAAAACGGATACTTATTCAAACTGCCAGAGAATGGGGACTTAATGCAAGAACTGGCTTGGCATTCTGATCTTGTCCTTCTCAAGCAAAATACTAGGCCACATCATCCTGGAGGAAACCAAACAAGCTTTGGATGAAAAACGTCGACTAGAACAGGCTGGATTCAGGAGAAAGAAGTCATGTAATGATCAAATCACCACACTACGGATCATCATTGAACAGAGCTTAGAATGGCAGTCATCTCACTATCTCAAATTCATCGACTTTGAAAAGGCCTTCGATAGCGCAGTATCGATCAAGAGGTGATTCGGAAACTTCTTCGCTACTACGGGGTGCCATCGACAATCATACATCTCATCCAACAGTCTTTCGAAAATGCTGCGTGCAAGTAATCTAACGGAAAACTTTGGGAATCCTTCAAAGTAAAGACGGGAGTAAGGCAAGGCTGCCTACTATCGCCAACGATTTTCGTGATTGCGCTAGACTGGATAATGCGACAGACAGCGGCAGTGAGGAAACAGGCATAAAATAGACCCATACAAAATCTTTGAGAATTTGGACTTCGCCGATGATGTATGTTTGATTTCCCACAAACTGAAAGTTATGCAAGTGAAAAGCAACAAGTTGGAAAAAGAAGCATACAAAGAAGATGGGACTCCAGAAGAACATAGGGAAAACAGAGGTGATGAAGATTCCTGGCCAACAGCAACAACAACAACAGACAACAATCAGCCAGCATAAATGGAAGAAATCTGAAAGAAGCAACCTATTAACCTACCCGGAAAGCATCATTTCAAATAGTGGCAGACGGAACTCATGGGGACTTTATCAGAGCGAGGATGGGAAAATTAATCGAGCTCCCATTACTCTCAAATCTCTGTAAAGGTAATAGCACTCAGCATGAAAAATAAGATCTGGGTTTTCAAATCCAATGTGAAGTCAGTGCTACTTTATGCATCAGAGACTTGACGAGTCATGAAGAGCACCTCAAACAAACTACAGACCTTCATTAACAGTTTTCTTCGCTCAGTACTCAAGATCAAATGGCCTGAAGAAATCAGCAACAGGTATCTCTGGCAATGAGCGAACCAACCAGAAACCGATTGTGCAACGAATGAGCAGGAATAAATTGAGGTGGATTGGGTATACTCATAGAAAACCATCTAGTGACATCTAAAGAGTGGCCATCTCTCCAGTGAAACCTGAGGCGAGTTGGTCGTCAGTGCGAGGGTGCCATGGAGGAGGTCACGTGACGCGGAGATGAAAGCATTTGGGCAGACGTGGAGCCAGGTGAAAACGTTGGTGGAGAACCAAACGCAATCGAGACGTGCGGCTTAAGTTCTCTGTTCCTCTAGGAACGAAAGGAAGCAATAATAATAAATAAAAGAAAACAAGAAGTGTTGAATGATTTGTAAACCGCTAATCAACAAAATTCGGTATCAGCATGCTGAATGCAATACATGACGATTCGGATAAGTGCCCTAATAACTTGATTATTTCTCAACACTTTCTTCTGACCACACAGTGAGTATATAGTTTTCAATAGTTTACTCCACTCCTCACGAATGGAGTGCTGAATTATTTGCATTTAAACGTGCTTTGCTAATATTTCTGAGAAGTTATTGTACTGCTAATTAAACGGATATCTAATATACCTTAGTTATTATGTGTGTTACTGTTGAGTAAATGGGGCACTAGACGACTGACTATAAACACAAAGGCGGGTGAGTTTTCATACTAACAGTCTATTATTCTTGAACGTAGTATGCAATACAAATTTACATAATCATTTTACCTTTGATTATATTCACTGCTTTCTCCACTTCCATCAAATCCTTCTTCATCATTTCAATTTGGACTATAATTTCACAATATTTCAAATTACGAAATGTTTTATTGTGTATTCTTCAACGTATAATGATCATATTAACGCAATGGCTACTGACTGTCAAAATACATGGTTATCCTGTTGATGATGTCCAACTAACCACATGATATTTTGAGTACTTACTGACATCAGTAAAGCAAATGCCTTCAATAGGTGTAAGCTGCATTTATACTGGGTTTGTATCCATCTTCAATATTGGCTTGATGTTATACGTTATAGAACAATAATCGTTTGCATAGAATATTAAACTTTTTTACAATAATTTGCAAAATCATCGGAGGAACAAACGTGTCAATGGTTTCTCATGTTACAAATTGTATTTATAAAGACAGGCTACATTTTGAGGAGTGTCTGCATGTTAAGGGCTGACGTGGCGTTTGCTACTGATAAGATTTATAAGTAGAATATGACGAGATGTTCATCAGAATAAAAATATCAAATAGCAGGGAGATAGATTTGACGTGAAATAAACCAAATTATTCATCGTCTAGGTAAGCCATGGGAGACTTACTAGGAATACGACAAAATACAATATAAAGGAGAGAGGTAGTCCAGCACGAAAGATCTGTGCAAATGGTGGTTTGAAGTTACGGTGAACAAAATTTGGCAATTTGGAGATACCGAATTCCGAATAAGCATTGCTTTACTGTCTCTTTTCTTCTACCGTTACACTGTTACTTCACTGCGTGAATATTTTTCTGTCCATTATTTCTGAGTAAACCATAGTATGTAAGGCATGGATGTTCACACACACATTTCGCATGAAATAATAATGAAACCACACGATACACTTTGTACTTTTTGATGATAAAATGTGAGAATCAGTGTTCATTTTCAGAGGTTTCACCACATATTTCTCATCAAGATGATCTTTCAGTGAATAGAGTGTCGACCAAAATCCACCTATCTAGAGTTCGATATTGTTACACAGGTGTGTTACGTATCAGTATTAAATATACTGATGCTAAATGAATTCAAGCAGCCAGACTGTTTGGATGTGTGCACACAGCTATTCCACATATTTAAACAACTCGATAACTGAATCGAACTAGTTTCTGAATCTGATTGCCATAAAGGATATTCAGACAGTTTATTACGAATAAATATCACTACATTTCAGTGGAATTGTGAATATGCATATTAATGACAACAGAGAAACAACTACTCACAAAGTCAAGAGAGATATTTCAGCACAGCTGATAAGTTACGAAGATGAATTTCAAAAGAAAAAGAAAACCAACCTTTGTCTTTCTTCAAATTGCCTGATGTCTCCGCAAACAATTTAGCTGCAATTGGTGCATAACACTGTGATTCAACATCCAGGTATATCATGAATCCATCACTCTCAAAATCAGTTTATTCAAAGATGGATTCAGCTGTCGTCGATTCAAATGACACCATCACAGTTAACTAGCTTACTTATTAAGAAATGTTACCAGGCCATCGGGTATGCGTACTCTCACTAACATATCGATGGCAAGTAGTCGTTTTTCGACTGATTCTAATGACAAAATATGACTAAGTGAATACATTTCTGGTGTTTGCCTACAAGTGCTGATTCCCTTAACTACTCTCCCTTATTTTAGATAGCGCATAAGTGAACAGATTTTCTCATCATTCTTTATCAAGTGTGAATATCGGTGCCAAAAATCGCGAAACATTCAAGAGGCTCCAAATACACAAGTTCTTGGGCACAAACCGCTGAGGCAAAGCAGTCAATGGCGTGATCTCCTGAGATGCCACCAATTCATACAGGATTTAATTTAAGACTGTCATTAAGTGATGTATCGCATTCTCTTCCTTGATTAGTCAGAATTCATAGACGTGAGACAGCCGTTTAAGACGAAAGATCGCCTTTCCGATGTGTTGTGTTAAAACTTGTGCAAGAACGAGAAGTTTTCTGTGGCTTTGCGCACTTCACCTAACTACAGAAGAATATTTCATTTCTCACAAAATATCAAATAACCTACTGCCTTTCTTGAATAATAGAATCGTACAAACATTACCTTCTGCAATATCGAGATTTTTTCGGTTTTCCCATTTACGTGAAATACTGGTTTTCAACAGATTGTATAATTCCTCATGAGCTGAAGGAATAAATGAAAATCCACTAAGTGGCTTTGTAAGGCATGATTATTTGAGCTGTGAAATGTTCCTCCAACATGATGACAATGGTAATCAATCAAGATGTCTTAGAATGACCCGGTTGTAGGCACCCGATAGATTTCATCATAACATCATATATCACCCAGTGAATTTACTTAAGCGATTTATTAGGCCTTGTGAATGTGGACAGTTTTCTATGGAAGAGTAGGAACCAATATTATGGTGGGAGCTGACTGCTAGCCAAATTGGCAGGTAGTAATTTACGTCAATTTTTACGTCCTCAATATTAGTCGTAAGAAAAACATGAAAAAACACATGAAACACCAGTTCAAAATATTGTGTACATTTTTCACACAACTGGTCACTTAATTACAACGATGTAATGAATTTAAGATTAAGTTGTATTACAAATTTAAGTCAAGAAAAATCAATCATACCAAAACCTTTGTGTTGAAAAGCACTATCTTCTTCGAGCGCCTTCCGGTATTTATCTACAGAGAGAGAAGCATTGTTAGGTACATATTTTATTCCTGAAATAGTCAACAATCCGCATTGTATATTTGTACACTGTTGTAGCATGAATGTGTGAATTAAGTTCATTTATAAACAGATGTCATTTCGAAAAGTATTAAAACTCTCTCAACAGATATAAAGTATGAATGTTGCCGCTGGGATCGGTTTGATTTGAAGAAAGGAAAATCATGCGTGGATCTGATTGCCTAAATGTGATTCACCATCAGGCAGACCACAATGGCAGTCAACTGTTTAACTGATCCCCATCGAATTTGTGAAGACTTTTGGCAGCGTGTACCATGAAGTGAATTATTCGCTTTACCGGCACTGCTAAGTGTCACATACCCTGATGCATCTCATTCAACAGGCATTTGATTATGCTGCAAGCGAAATACCTCTCAACGGAATGTTCACTGAATCACTTCAGGTTATTACAGCGCTGTCTACTACAACCTATGGTAACCCAACGGTATTGTTTGGTTTTAAACCATTCGAAACATCGTTGAGAATGAGCAACTCGATGGTTCATTCGGGAAGGCAGAGAACGAATACTAGTAGTAATTTCATTATGTAACTGAATAACTGTGAATTTATTTGACCACTGCGCATTTGATGAAAATAAAGTAGAAGTACACAATAAAAGTCTCCAAGTCATGTTAATGAACTTGAAATATGTATGAACTATAGACTATTTTCGGAATGTTATCAATGATGCATGCTGTTTCATTGTATCATATATGTACTGAACAATTATATTGAAGAAGCACTGTAGAGAATGTGGATGATGGAGGAAGTTGTATCACTATGAAATATGGCGTCACTAATCATTTTAAAATACTTCATTAAATGGACTAGATTGTATTCGTATAGGTGAGCGATAACTGCTTAATTTCTCAGCCGTGTCATTCAAAAAGGAATATGAACATCTCCGGTATCATCTGTCACACAAAATGATTTCAAACTCACGTTCATTCCACAAAAAATAAGAAGACGGTTGCATCTTCAGATACCAAATAATTTTTTGCTCTGTTTAACATTTTAAGATGAAGTAATCTACCGTTATAAAGATTCACTAGCTCCTTATCTTCTGCATCGATGGCTGTAAAATTGTAGATAATTTCGGAAAATGTTTACTTGTACTCGGAAGCATGGTGAGAAGGGGACTGTAAGAAAAGGTGGAATACATACTGAGTGTTTGTCAGATATGAAAAGTACAGCAAGGCAATTTATTTGGGGAGTTACAAAGCTCATCTGTCAGACCATATTAAATTTCCATTGAAAAGACTATTGAAAGGTGAATCAACGGCATTCATTCTACAGACGAACAAATATAATTACATTTTACGTTGGAATTCAGTATTTAATGCTATCAATGTTGGGAAAATGTGTACTGGAATACTTAGTAAAATGTGCATATGAAATCCATCCCTCAACTCGTTTCTCCTTAATATATTGCAAACTGCTTTCTGAGAGAATTGTCTGTGATACTGAAACCTAGGGAACACTCTATTAAATATTACCTTTGATGATTTATTTATGGGTTATTTGAATTGCTTTGGTCATCTGCAATCGCATTGCGATTCATTTCAATTCATAACGTTCAATGTGAACTTGGTTTGGTCATATATAACATAATCAATTCCGTTTAATTTCAGTGAAAACGCATGTATCTAATGAACACACATTTTGACTCACGAGCATCATGGAATCTAGTACATGCATAACAGGACTTACATTCCAGAAAGTCCTTCGCCCATTTACTTTGATATAAATGTTCAAGTCTCAGAATTTCTGTTTAAAGTGAAAAAACGCAAAATTAGTGCATGCAGTAATGCTGGTTGAAACAGGTTATTTGCTGAGAGAATTTTGACTAGCGTATATCTCTTATTTCTCATTTGCAATTTTCAGGGAATATGCCAAGCATGGAAAGACCAGCTACTGTTAATATTACTGAAGAATTTTGCATTACAATACATGACTTTTGATAGAATGAACCATGAATTCTGTAAACCAATTCATATCCAACTAAGGATTCATAAGCTCAAATGTCGTTCTACGCATGCCTCTAATACATTGTTTATTCTTTTTGCTCACATGGGATTGCTCGTTTATTTTCACCCGTGAGTTTACTTCGACTGCATTTTCGTAATCATGCTCCATTCTGCATCACGTTCTAATAATGCCTGAGTACAATGATTTCCCTTTGCAGATGGCGGTAACACTTTACTGTCCCACTTTCCTCCAACAGAGATAATCTCTTTTAGACGTTTGGGTTTGAATTAGGGACCACTGACTCACTGAAACACAACTTACACATAATTAAAAGAAACCGGGTTCCAGTGCCATCCTTCGAAAAGTGACGTGAAAAGGGGGGAGAGGGAAGAATTCTACAGACAACTGCAAGTAGTAATGTACACGACCCCGAATAGAAATATCAGATTGCGAAAATGGAACCATCAACAAGGGAAAGCGATTTTTCGCATGTCTGGAGGTTGTGGGTGAAAACAAGCGAATGGTTGACCCTTCGCGTAATTCCATACCTTCAGCCAGTTGTTGACTGCAGGTATCAATGCGAAACATACACGAAATGAAACATATTTCAGAAGTCATACACACCAAATTTCAGATAATCCTCATCTCCATAACAGGAATGGGTAGATTTAGCATTCTGGACATAAAATCCAGAAGAGAATCAGACGGGCATATTTGCGAATGAAGCAGAATATGTTTCAGGAAAAAGGAGACCTCAGAATACTTCATCACTTTACCGCGTCAGTGTCATAGAAGGAAACAACAAAAATGAAACCATGTTGAAGGGATGTTAGCTATAAAAGGGGAGAAGCGATTTGAATTCACAAAGAGACCACCAAATGCAAATCGTCTAGGAATACCATCCACAGCAGCCACAGTGCTATCTGCGAATCACGATCTTCCAACAAAGGCAGACGCTTCGAATACCACAATGTTACTAGAAGCCGGAAAGGCGACAGAATCAGATAGAATTCCGACGGATATAGATATATAGATATAGTCACACCACTGATGCATAGGGCTTTTGATAAAGGAAGGTTACATGCTGATCAGAAGGATAGACGACCCTATCAAACTAGCAAAGACGAACGACTAAAGTCATGCTTCTGCTGAATCCAAGCAAACCAATAGCTCGTGTTATACTGTAGAGACTGAATGATGGTATGAACGCAAAACTCCTCCAGTAACAAGCTTGATTCTCGAAAAGCGACTCACGTGCGGATCAAATTGCAAAGCCTCATTTTATTATAGAAGAGAACACAGGATTTTAACCAAATATCTACCTCAAACTCATTGACTTTGAAAAGACCGTAGACAGCATTTGAAAATAAGGAGTAGGGAGCCTCAAATAACAGCGTGAATATGGCAAGTGCAAAGAGATGCACAACAGAAAGCTCAGTGCGACTGATCGCCGACGATACTACTTGTTATGGTCGACTGCGTCGTGTAAAAGACCATGAGCAGCAGCAGGCTGGTCATAATTTGGTGCAAAAAGCAGCCAAATAGGTTTGAACTAAACCGACGGTTTATGTCTAGTAGCATACAAACTCGAAGTTCAACAGGTGAATACGAACACGTTGGGAGAAGACGCACCCAGCGAAGGCAGGTCTTCAGGTGAGCATAGAGCAAAAACAGGTGATGAGCCCAACTTACCAACCAACCAGTGGCAATGACGGAAATGTGAGGGGAGTCATTTCCCATACTTATTCAGGCATCATCGTTTCAACTACGCGTGATGGCGAGGGTGAGGTCGCTGCAGGCAGTTGAGGTCAGAAAGTCAAAACAGAATTTTACAGCTTTCAAATCAGTGGACGAGATTATTCCACCCAGTATAAGGAATGAGATCTGGGTCTGCAACGCTGATGTTAAACCAATACTTCTATATGATTCAGAGGGTTGTCTTGTTGACAAAGCATTAACAACAGGCAGCTAAAAACTTTTGATAATATCTGAATTTGATGCACCAGTACTGAAGACAAGGAGGCCAAAATATTTGCAGCAAGGACGTCTGGCGACAAACCAATCTTGAACCTTATTCCCAACAAATATGACAATTGAAATGAAGGTAGATGGTGTATGCGTTGAGGAAACTGCAGACTAATATTAAAAGCCAGTTCGTTGAGTGAAACTAGAAGGAGGTATGATGAGGTAAGGGGTTTTATGATAGCGACATGATAGAGACTATGTGAACACGAAATATAGGTTGGTAGGCAGTTGTGGAGCCAGCCACAAAGGCCTTCAAAGAGGGGGATGGTAGGAAGGTGTGCAGCTGATATCCTATTTTCCACCCCGTACTCAGGAAAGTAACGATAATGACGATCTGAAAAACAGGTTGAGAGTACCTAGGACAGCAGCGGACAATACCAATCTCAGACTCCTTTTCCAGTCTCAATCGCTCTCATCAGTATTCAATCCATTCACAGAATCTTCCACTACATCCACAAGTGAGTTCATGGGTTTCAGTGTTATAATTCAAGTCACCAAGTAGCAGTGAGATTTCGCGCAACAGTAAGGGTAGGGAAGTGAGTAGGTGTCTGCAAAAGGTTTCATGCCACGCACTGGACAGACGTTATTTCAAGCATCAGAACCAGTCAGTATTGTCCTAGTACAATGCACATACCAGAAGGTACATTCCATTTACATCAAATGATGAAAAATAAACGAGTTACTCAGTCATCCTTAAAGAGGACACAAGTGTTCACCTTTGATTCATAAGAATAAGTAATATCTGCAAAATGCGTGAAATAGAACATAACCTTTTTATTGAAAAAAGACCTGACCATCCATTTTTGACTGATATTTATATGCAGCTACATAGAAATCTTGATAAAACTGCTCACCAGTTTTCATTGTTTCCTCTGCATTCTGGGGATCTACGTATGTCTGAAGCTCAATCATGAAAACTAAAACAAAAGGACGGGTGGAAATAAGTGTAAAGTAGGTGGATTATTTATTCGTTGACTAAATGTCCTGAAAGAGTAAATGTTGACGTCCAAACAACATGAAATCAGACTTTATATCTTTGTGTATGTAATCAGTCATGAAATGTGGCTGCCATCCGTGCATTGTCAGCACTCCTTTAGGTAAATATAAATATTTCTCTCATAATCAACTGGTAACCAGTGCTAAATGATCAAGCCATTCAGTCTCATCGACATTACTGTCCAATTGCTATTCAACTCATCTCCGTCCACATAGATCCACAGATCCACATAGATGCAAAGTGTTTTCCTGGAGATCACCAAGTTTCCTGAAATAGATAAAGCACTATCACTCACAGCGAAGCACCAATTTTCTCGGTCTCCTTTACAATAGGGATTTGCAAGTTATTACAAATAGGTGGCATTGCATACATCTGCTGACATCAGAAATATATCTCCTCGAACTTCAATGGAGGCGTGGAGTTGAAAAAAGAAATTTCGAAAAAGCTATTCAGTATCGTCAGTGATTGAACTTGTTGATTAGCCGCAAACGAATCAAGGCAAGCGATATGTGTAGTAGGAGGAAGTGAACACTGATCGTTACAGAACAGTCTAGAGTGAAGAGACAAACATAAAATAATTTTCATGGAAATAAACACCTACATTTATTATTCAAAACTTGATGGTAAGAATCTGCGTATGCTTCTAGTGTTGAATTCAGATCATCTGGAATAGAGAAAAATATTTCCCTCCGGCTATGTAATTAACGCCTTATAAATTACTAAGTAAACCATACAGAAATAAATTTCTCCTGTATGATGACTCAGAATGCGGAATAACTGCTTCTTGCTGAAGACGTGATATAAGAAATTAGATAGCTCATGGATTCACGGATTTCTGAAGTCCACAAACTGACAACAAAAATTTCCTTAATCAGAAGTTACACTCATCTCACAATGCATTCAACTGCTTGGAAGTATAACTGCTACTGCTTACTCAATTTTGTCAGAAGATCCGTACACCTCCAAAAATAATCATGGTTTTATTGATTCTTAAACAGCGAAACGATGCCATCCTGCGTTTCGGTGAAATTCTCTCCATAAGTGAATGATTTTCAGCATGCAGCAGCGGTAACAATGTATGTTACACAAATCATCGGACAACACCAAAATCTTCGTGGAAGAATTCGCAACCAATAAGTGAATACTTAACTGTAAATTGCAAATGAGAAATAAGCGTGCTCATTATAAAACGACAAAAACCTATCTAACGATGACAACTCACAACATTCACTTTTAAATAAAACTGACACAGATCATGTGGAATATTTAAATAAGATACGACACTAGACAAGTGAGTACGTCTCAGTAAATGAAATTATTTGAGAACCCATACCACCAGTGGAATTTATTGCGAGACTGGGCGGTAATTAAGAAGCAACCTTATTCACATTGAACCTTAACTGTGCCACTGAATCGCTGACGCAGAAAAAAGCACCAACAACTTCACCGTGTACACACGAAATGAAAAAGGTGACGAAATCATCGACGTCAGTTATTGTCACTGAATGAGTGAGTGAGTGAGAAATGACCCTGGTTCAAAGAAGATCTCATGATGACTGTGAAGCACGATGTTAACCCGCAAAACACCACAGTATTACCTTCTACATGGTCGGTGCAGAATAAATCTGAAATCAAAACACAGAGATATTTCATAACCTTGGATTCGCGAGGAAGTTCGTTCAGCAAATACAAATGAAATCATATGGCATTTCATTATTTATTCAAATACACTGAATCATTAAATCCCACTTTATTTACACTTGTTGCTCTATTTAATACACATCCGGTAATAAGCTTTTCCAAAAAACGACAGTTGAAAGGAATGTTTAATCAATATAACCAGCAACACACGGCACATAATATACCGATGACTGTGGTGAACACAGGGTGCTTTTATTCTGATTACACCTGTGTTAATTTAATTAACCAAGAAGTTTTTCAATGGTCAAGGATTAAAAATTTAACCTCTATCATAGCTTGAAGTTTAACTTGGAGTGTAAGAAATGAATTCAATTACAGGAAATCCTACAGTATTTAAAAGTGGCACAACTTTCCGTCGGTTAGTTTCAGATTTATATTTCATGTTGTTACATTGATGATTTGATATTCACATTTGAACATGACTTTAATCAGGAGAGAAAGTCGAACTCTTCCACATACACATTTTAAGATATCCAAGGAATTTATTAACATACAATAACATAAATATTAGCTAAACAGAAATATTCGTTTTTCAGGTCTTACACTTGGCATTTCTTGAGGGTAGAACTAACATCAGTTTACAGCATTATAGAAAAGCATATATATTTCCATAGTAAAGAACTCCTCTACATTATCCACCTATGATTTCACCAGAGTTCTACCCTTTCAGTATACGAGACTGGTGTGTCAGTCATTCATTCACTGACTTGGAATCTACAGGCTCAGGCATTCTAACTTCCGTCAAGCCGCTAACATAGTCCTACTGTCAACCAACGCTTTCACAGCAATTTGGGCCAGAACAAAACACGCGTTAAGCTGATCAATGATTCTCTATCTAATTTCTAACTATAAATAAAGCTGTACTCAAATTTACCTTTTAACAGTTACAATGATGAGTAATTAACTATTGGAAATAAACTTGAGACGAATTCGATCCAAAAAAATAAAATTACAAAATGCAGAAGGATAATATTTTGACAAGTTATAAAAAGGATTAATGATCAACTTACAATCATCAATTGCATCATTAGAATAAGATGCATTGTTGTTCGATAACAGGAGTAAAAGGCTGAGTAATGCCTGTAGTAACAAATTTTCCATGATTCAAATTCTCTAGTCAGTGTATGTTGTCAGTGTTATCTACTGCAAAATAATTGTACGCCTGAATCACATATGGCCTTTTTATAGTTATATATGAATACACACTATGAATGTATATGGTGTGCATATGTGTATCTCATTTTTGTGTTCACCTATCTAAAATGCAGCTATATTTGGCAAGTAATACAGCATAGCAAGTAGCATAGAAAGTCAATCAGTAGTACATTGGTTACAGAAAACAACAGCAATATATTGATTTACGGTGGCTGTTGCCGTCTATGGTGACCATCCATTTGAAGACGAATCAGTCAATCCCTTCTCACAAAATAGTTAAATTTGGTGTGTGTTTTTCAAGAGTTAGTTTGTAGAGTGTAATTCAATTTACTTAAAGTTTCACTATTGATAGACAACACTTAGCAGACCCCATTGAAAAACACCAGGTAATAGTGGACATCTGTCCCCTGTTCTCAATCTGTGACTCACTGGCATTACTACCCCATTTAAGTCAGTAGCCAGGGTTTCCAGGTTACAGAGCAAGCGTGTACACCATTAAGCCACAAGTACCTCACTCAGTGATCACTGCATGAATTCTAACTTCAACCGATTCGTGAATTTAGCATGAAACCCGGTAGATACGTACCGTTAATGTTGGTTATAAATGCTTCTCTGATTGACATCAATATGTGGTGAAACATGAATTAAATCAAATTCTCATAAACTGAATCCTGTTAGGTATTGTGATTCTCACTATCGACTACGTTCAGAACTGATATGCCTGATGGGATTTCTAGTGATAACTCCTGAGTAATTGGGTCTACGAACCTGAGAGTGAAGACAAATACTCGCTTAGGATAACACTGGCTGGTACCAGTCACGTTTAAATCACCAATCTGTAAGAGTTAGAATTCGCATGTTCACAAATTTATTCAGGCCTCAAAAGCGGAATGGTCTTCAAGCATGTCTTAAAATTTGTGAGTCGGTGGCACAGTGGTTAGGACCCTCGCCGACCATGCACATGGTCCAGGGTTCGAGCCCTCGCCGACGCACACCTGATATCTATGGTCGGCCTGCGAATTTTGGGCTACCGATATCCACGCTGAAAATTCCATACTTGTACTGATAATACGGTGCAGAATCAAGCTGTAATCGAAAAATTAAAAAAAAATCTGAAAATCCTGCACTCGGACACCAGTGGTTATGTACTTCCGATGAGTCCCAAACTACATTGACAAAACAGCTGCTCAGTACCACCTGATGTTCTTCAGGGTTTCACTAAATGATATCAATCCATCGACAAACTTGAAACGTGAAGTTTTGTTCTATTTCATATGCATGGCAAACATTTCACCACAAATGTACTATGCATTATGGATGAAAAGTCAAATCACAGATCAACTGAAAAATCTTGGTTCAAAAAGTATTTAGTTTCATATTTATTTGACTGATTATATATGTTCATCTCACCTTGTTACACAGGCTGTTTTATCTAAGCTGTATTCTCCAAGGGCAAATTAAGATGATCAGCTGATAGTGCACATAATGAATTAACCAGTAGCTATTACGCATTTAGGAACAACAACAGGTTTACAGGATTATTTGATGGTTCATTTCGTTAGCTTTTCATCAGCTGCTTACAAACCAAAGTCATTATCAAGTATATTTACAGAACATAACATAACAATTTCGCTTTATTCCAGAAAAAGTACTTGTGGTACAGTGTGGAATTTTCAGCACATATCTACAATAATGGATCTAATTTCATCGCGCATTTAAAAGGAGTATTACAAAAAAAATAATAAAATATATAAAAGAAACAACAAAAAACCAAAAAAGAAACACAGAAATAACAAAAAAACAAAAGAAAAAATGCAAATAAAATACCAATTAGAAAGGAAGATAAACACCAATAATGAAAAAATATTTCAGTATTGGGTAGTGGAAGCTATGATATGTGTATGCGTGGTGGACAGTAACAGCTATAATCATACAAGAAATTATGAGATGTTCTTAAGAATGTTAATAGCCAAGATGATCAGTTAATTTGATTGAACAACACTAAACAATCATAAAATAAACATTTCAGGTTGTGTTTTTTTATTGTCAGCACTAATGCAGTGTTAGCCGTGGTAGTGTGAGTAAGGATGCATAATACAAAATTTTTTAAGATGGTGATAGTGGAGTTCACAAACAAGATTGTCAGTTAAATAGTGCCGAACAAAGAACAACCACAAAACTAATATTACATGATGGTTAATGACAGGACAATTTTTAATAATCATAGTGATAATATAGTCGGACCCAGTAGATATACAAAAGAAGGAATAGAGTAAAGTACAAAAAAAGTAAGCCAATGATAATAATTTAAGGTAGCTAAGTATGTTTAAGAAGGTTGTTCACTATAGAGTACAAATAAGAGAGTATAAGGGGGAAATAACAAGGGCCAAAATTATGTTATTAACAACAAAGCAAGTCATAGGTTTCACGCCTAACATTGTCTCTGTCACTTAGAACACGGGCCAAATATGGTATCGTTGAGTTCCTATACTTGGTTGTACGAGCATATA